AAACTTGAGCAAGAGGCTTTTTTCTACAATAATACAAGTTTCTTTTCCCTCTTTTTACCACAACTAACAATAGTTTAAGAATGATGATGGGCCATTGGCATATATAATTCTGGTTTTGGACCCCCAGACAAAATATGAAGGAATTTAAATTGTGTTTTGGCATACAGACACATTGGGAAACTATAATCTGCAAGCCTCCTAATGGCATAGTCAAAATTGAATAAAATAATAAAAATGTTTCTAAATGTGTCTCATGATTGAAATTCACAGGATTCAACTCTTCACACAAACTCTATTACCATAGTTTTTTACAGAGTTTCCTAAAAGAAAAACATCATCTTCAAGATCTACATGTCATAGGGCTGGGTTATTTGTGGCACCACCTATCTCCCATAAGTTCTGCCTGGCTGATATAAGCTGGCAGAGTTTGCATACTCTGGGTCTCTTTGATTAAACAATGCCACCTATCAGGATTCAGGAAGTGTGCCTTCTCTGTCATAGTGCTTGCCCTCTGGAACAAATCCCTCTTGAGATCCATGGGGCTCCCACTCTGATGGTGTTCTGGGAGGCCTTGAAGACCTTGAAGGCCCTGATGGTGTTTTCCCAGGTCTTGGGGTAGGGTGGATGGAACCACCTTGTGGGATGAGTCTTTATACACACAATGCATTGATTGGTCAGATACTACCTTGTTCATTTATATTGTACTGTATTTTGATGATGCTGTTTGATATTGTGAGTTGTCCAGACTAGAATCAGGTAGCATCTGAAATCAATCAATCAATCAATCAATCAATCAATCAATCAATCAACTATAGGCAGGAAGCATATTGCTGCTTGTAACCATGGATATGGATCCTTTAGTGCTTCTTAAATTTGTGAGAGTACAAGAATAGTAATCACCAGTATGGGGCCATTAGATATGGGAATGTGTTGGCCACAGCAAGACAGCTTAATTTCTCCTCAGTCACAATGACTATCCTTCCTGGAGGTAGAAGATGAAATGTAACTTAAACAATTCACCTTTGCCTGCTCCAGATTACATCACTATTTAATCAAGTAGTATATCCAAGATCTTGCAAATTTGTGTTTGTGGAGAAAGGCCTAGGATAATAATTTCACATCAACTTAAGTACACCTGATAACATTCTATTTTCCTCTTTTGTTACTGCACTTGCTTCAAGATATCCAAAGCAAGATGAAGCAAGAATTAAAGATGAGATATTAACTAAATTTAACAACTAACTCAGGAGATTATGTGCCAGTATGTGAGAGTATATATATTAAACTCTTAAGGGGTAAAGCAACTTTCCTCTTAGAAAAGTGGAGCTATCCAAAAAGAAATAAGCAAAATGAGCATGTTTTGGAACAGCTAGCAGAAATGTCCATATATGGAAATGGGAATATTCTGAATTTCCCACAAAGTTGTATCAGATAGGACTTCAAATCACAATGCACCATTTTCATACACGGCACAGGCCATGCATTGTTACATATTGCAAGCAGAATTCTGATGGAAGAGTCTGCTAGAATCATTATGCTGAATAACATAAAAGAAACCTCAAAGAATAGTTAAAATGATTAGACTGCTTGTTCATTACAGATCAGGTTATTTTCCATGGTTGCTTCCCAGCAAGTGTTTGGTCATCAGCGCCTTTCAAGTTCCAAAAATGGCACAAGAGGCCTCTTAACTGTCAGGCTGCCCTGCATGCTTGGCACCAAATTCAGACGGCTTGGAGAAGTTCATCATAAGTTGCCTGTTTTTGCTCTTCAACTTTGTATACCTTTCCGTAAGAAAGCAGGCCTATTTTTAGACGTTGGCTGCCGAACCTGAACCCGGTGATTGGATTTGCATAGTTGTTTCCCCTTCCCTTAAATCAAAAGGCAGGGGTGTGCTTGGCTGTAGGGGGACATATTAAAACTTTCCTCTCTCTCTATTCAAAACAGTGACTTGAAAATGCCTGGAAATCCTCTTCACCCTTGGTTAAATCCAGCTGCTACTTAGTTGCTAGGCCCTTCGCTTTTTCGTCTTATTTACTTCTGTTACATAGCCAATTGATGTAATTTTGGACTATTTATTTTCTACAAAAAAAAATCTGCAGCACTGCAGTAATTTAAACCAGCCCCTGGTTTAGATAGATTCTTGGGCTAAGACAAATGGAGGCACATAGCTGAGGCAGGCCAAAGATGGGCAATGGTAACACGAGTGTGATGATGTCATCATGCAAATGAGGCATCATATGTGCTTGTTATGACATTATGACATCATTACATAAGTGCATCATATTCCATGTGTTGTCATTTGACATCATCAAGACTTGTTACATTTGCTGCTGGCACAAAGTTGTACCTATGAACCATAATGTGGTACACTGTATACCGTATAATTTAAATTTGTGTTGCACCAGACTACTTCAAATATCTGCTGACTAATAATGATGCTCATGGCCCTTAAGACAATCTTTTCATCCAAGCCTTTGGTGAGGGAGAGGGAAGACCCTTTGCTTCATACTTGTCCAATCTGTTGCTTTTGCCAATATTATAATTGTTGTTGTTTATTGTATTTTCCTTGTTTTAGCTGTGAGCTGCCCAGAGTCATTAGGAGTTGGGCGGCATACAAATTTCACAAATCAATCAATCAATCAAAACCCCACTTGCTCAACCAAGCCACCTAAAAGTTAGTTGCAAGTATAAAAGACATAAGAATTGTAAATCATGTTGAAAATTGTCATAGATATGATGGTTTATAATCCCAAGTTAATCAGTGGTGGCTACATTACTGATGAAAACATTAAGTCAACCATGCTGAGGCATTCCATTTCATTAAAACTGATGTGAGAGAACCCATAGTGTCCATACAACACTGCCCAAGTCTTTTCACCAGAGGAAAGATGTTCAGAACAAAAGTGTGGTAAAAGAGATTTATTACATTTTAATATGATATCTTGCATGCTGGTGAGCTCAGAACTGGCTTTTCACCTGTGCGGGAGATGAAGGTCAAAACCTTAACTTCATACTGCTTCTGTGTACGGCAGCAGCAGCAGCAACAATAACAATGCATTATTGGGAAAGGATTGAATATCAGTACCTGCTCCTGGCTGTGAGCTTCCCTCGAGTAACATTCAGCCATTTTCAGAGAAAATATCGGTTCAGTTGAACATTGTCTGAGTCAAGGTGCCAGCTTAGATTGCAAATACACAAAAGTAGACACCGTGCAGGGAGAAAATATCTGTGGAAGTCAAGTCAGGATGTTTAAAAGTACAACAGAGAGAGAAAGAGTGAGAGAAAGAGAGAAAGAGTGAGTGAGTGTGTGTGTGTGTGTGTGTGTGTGTGTGTGAGAGAGAGAGAGAGAGAGGATATTCAGCTGTATAGATGCATTTTTAGTCTATAGCAGTTCAGTGCCAAACAAGAAAATCCAACAGCCTCTGAAAAGTGTTGCACAGGTGTCTTCAGAGGACAGTGGTTGAAAGCATTCATCTCCTGGAAGAAAGTGTTATGGAGTAGGAAACCTTAGCAAAGAAAAGTAAATTAAATTTAATGAGTTTAACTTACAAATTTAATAGCTTTTACTGAAAAGCCACCTGCTGCTTTTTTCAGACGTTTTGTTTGTTTTCCTTGTCTTATTTGTTGGGTTGGCAGAGATGTCCGCAGTCCTTTATTTGCTCAAAACAAATTCCTAAGGCTCAAATTTTCTATTAGTTTATTAATTGCTGAGTTACAGCAAGAGAATTAAAAGCATATTTAAACATCTGTTCCTTTTCATGGATTTCATTTTTAAGTAACCACACAGTTCCCCTAAATCAGTTTCCCAGTCAGTTTTGTTATTGTTGGAAGATACTGTTTTAAAGTCAAATACACTGCCTGGAAAATAAAAACAAAAATCCTGCATTGTGAATACAGAGATGTTTAAACACAGTCCAACAGCTTCCATGGCCTTTAACTTGAAAATAAAGTTTAGATTTATACAAACAGGCTTTATTAATAATTTTTACTATAAAACAATTGCCTCAAATCATATTGATTACATATCTATCTTGAGCTTCCTACTAGAAGGTCCTTTTAAAGCGGCCCTTTGTTTGCACTTTGATGGTGTAAAAAACACTTCAGGAAAACAACATAAAAAGATTGCATTATTAGAGAAATAAACAAGCCCCCAATTAAATTATGAATGAACAAACCAAAGGTGCTGCCTGGTCCTGAAAAGATGGGGAAGGCACATAGTCTGACAGGCAATCTTGACTTCATGCTCTTCCACAGTTTTAGCACACTTCATCCCTATTAGCCACCGAGGTATCCAACATGATCTAATTCTTACCTAGACCTGGGAATGAACAGCTACAATCTCACCTCTCTTGTTACAATATTAATTTACAGCTTTCAGGATGTCCTCCTGTAACATCCTAGTTCTGGCTGAGCAGACTAGGAATTACTTTTTTGTAGATACATATGCGATTGAACAGCTATATCACTAGATTTGTCAGGATTAAGAAATGTATGACATGCCATGACTACTTTAGCTAGTCAATGCCATGGGTCACATTTTATATAAAAAAATAATATTGTACTTAGAGAATATGAATCTTCCAGTAGTAAGAAAATAAAACAAATTCTATGTTTTGGAGATTATTAGGAAGCACATTAGGGATTGTTAGATTGGGGCTTGATTAAACAAACTATATAACAATATTTTTCATGTACATCTAAGTTGTTGACATATATAGAAAAATGGAGAACATAATCAAAATTATTTATTTTAAATTTTATTTTTCAAAATACAAACTACAAAAAAATTAACAAAGCACTAAAAGACACTAAAACATATTCTTGAACTTTTGTTATAGGCTTTACTTTTTACTTTTACTTTTTAAAACATATTCTTGAACTTTTGTTATAGGCTTTACTTCTATAATGGATTCCATCTCAGATGCCTTTGAAATGGCCAAAGTGCCTGGCCCATGCTGATCTGTTAGAACATGCTTAAATTGAAGATACCACCACTGTTGCAAACTTCTCAGCCTTTTGGCTAAGATCAAGTGTAGTATCTCTTCTTATCAATATGATAATCAGAATGATTAAGGGACTAGAACATATTCCAAATGAGAAAGTTTAAGGCACTAGAATCTCCCCTCCCATTAAAGAAGATTTAAAAGAAGGTTATTACATTTCCGCCTTGATTTTTTCTTTCCAGTTTGTAGTTCCTAAGGATGTGAATGGTAAGTGGAAAGATAAGGACCACCATCTACTTATTTGACCCTTGACTCTCTTGGATGATTAGATTGGCCAGGTTTGGACTGGTCCAATGGTTAAGGGGGGGAGGGGAAATCAATGCCTCCTTGAGTGTGGGACATATTCCCACCTGGTTAAAGGAAGCAGTTATGAGACCTTTACTGAAAAAGCTCTCTGTAATTATAGACCTCACTCAAGTATTCCATGTTTGGGTTGGGCTACTGAGACTATGGTGGCTTTATATAACTTCAAATGGATTTGGATGAAACTGATTATCTGGATGTATTTCAAATGGGGTTTTATCTAGGATATGGTACTAAGCGTGCCTTGGTCACATTGGTGAGTAACGTATATTGGTAACTAGATGGGGTGAGTGTGAACCTAATAGTTTTCCTCAACCCCTCAGCAACTTTCTGTACTAGAGAACCATGGTATCCTTCTGGGCCATGTGGCAGAGTTGGGATTGCTGCTCCCTACCATCTAACTCTACAGAACCAATCATTGCCATATCATTGCAGCCGGTGCTCCAGTTGGGATCCCTCCTGAACTGATCAGACTTGGCAATAGTTATCCATGTCTTAATTACAACCATTTTGACTACTGCAATGTACACATAATTCTTGAAAAGTATCCGAAAACTGCAATTAGTGTAAAAACAGGTGGCTAGAATGCTAACCAAGGTAAGGACAGGGATCACTGTCTATCTCTCTCTCTGTGTATGTGTGTGTGTGTGTGTATTATATATACTATAATGTACTATATGTATAATTGTAATTGTTTTAATGGTTTTAATGATTGTGAAATTGTTCGCCACCCAGAGTCACTTGGATTCAGATGGACAGCTATGGAATTTGAATAAATAAATAAAATTCTACCTCTCCCACTATAAAACTGCCCAATTACTTAATTCAACAAGAGAAACCCCTTTGAAGACCTCCCCACTCTCAGAAGCTCAGCTATGTGGTCAACAGTAAAGGACTTTCTCTTCTGTTGCTCCCAGGCTGAGGCTCTTCCCAGTGTGATGTATTTGGCTCTCACTCTCCCAGTGCTTAGGAAAATGGCAAAACCCCATCTTTTTCATCAAGCTTTTAGTGGGAGGGAGTGGTACAGATTCTTCTGGGAAATGGATAAGCACAACAGGAAGGCAAGTAGGCTATTGATACACCTTCATAACTGGCTTGCAATGTTTTTTAGAAAAAGCTGCCGGACATTGTTGAAAATGTGAGGGCTGATATAGATAGACCTTCACTCTGATTCACTCTGGACGTCTCTGTTCTTTTGGATTGGTTCCAAACTATAGCACATGTCACCGATATGCTTCCACTTCTAGAATTCTCTCAGGCTTAGTATTATCTAAGCACAGTCCGCTAAGTCTATTAAGATTTGAGCTTTAGAGAATTTAAGTTCCATCTATATTTGTATTTCACAGAGCTTTGCATGCTTGTAAAAGTGGGGAAAATGCACACCCAATCTTTACAAGTATTTTGCTTGTCAATATTTTCTCCCAATATTTTCTGATGTGTAGTGTGGATGTATTCCCTCTTGGAAGAATAAAGCAAAAATTATAGCTTTTTATTTTTTAAACTCTAACTTTATCCATGTCCCACCCAGACGAACGACTTTATGGGAATGGCTGATTCATTTGGAAACCAAATGACTGATAGAGCATGGATCAAATTCAAGTTTACTAAAGAAAAGAGAAAATTATTTTTAATCCAGTCTTTTTGGTAAATATTTTGACAATTCTGCCTGTAATATTTGCCTAATGAGACATGAAAGAATTCCCATAAGCCTAGAAGCAGGGTTAGAAAGGTTGTGGAGGGAGTATTATTTATTCATATCTTTTCTGTACTCTTTTCTTTTGATCCTCCTGTAAGAAAGTTTGGTGGGGGTCAGATTATTCCTCTCAGCCCTTCATGGTAGGCAAGGTCAGGAAACAGACGTCCCAAGAACTACTGGACCTCTGATTGTTGTAGGGTATAATAACAGCATCTTGAAAGCCTAAGAGAATTTCTCTTTGCCCATTCTTATAGTAAAGAGAATCAAGTTGGGATAATCTTGAGTTTCTTTCTTACTCCCTCTTCTTTCTCAGGTGTTTACATAGCTATTCTCTAAACCTGGTGTTTACATAACCCCTCTCTCATTCCGTCTTCAAGGTTACCTCCATACGCATCTACAATTCCTTTATCGCTATCTTCAATAAATATTCTCTGTACTTACCTTGTTATAGAAACCAACAAACCAGCAAAATAGATTCCAGCTTCCTTCTGTCGCTCTCTGCTTGGCCACAGCTGATACAGCTGCTATCTATAATTAGAGGAACTACACATTTAACCACATTCCATTGTAGTATCAAGGCCTCTTCATTGAAGTTTATGGGCTGTAATCTACTGTACCAGTTCAGGGCACATTGGTAGATAGATGTTTTTTGACTCCCCAGCCTAGGGCTGAGAGAGGGTGACTGGCCCAAAGCCACCCAGCTGGCTTCTGTGCCTAGGGGAGAATTTGAACCTGGATCTTCCCAATCCTGGTCCAGCACCTGAGCCACTACATGCTACAGATATATACGGAATTAGCTTTTATGGGACTATTATATTGTATAATATGCTTTTGATTCTGAAGGATATTTAAAATCTGTGCAGCAGGTCCTCCCTCCCCCCTTTTAAACCTTTCCCCCCCCCAAAGGAATGTTTATTCCTGGAGGCCAAGGCTGATGGCCCTGAAAGGCCTGCATTCATCAGACTAGTGTTTAACTCTTCATGGCTGCCAAGGTAAACAGTCTCTCTCCTACTCTGGTGCATCAGAAAGAAACAGCCTCCAAGGTAACAGGCTAATTTCCTTGGAGACCAAAAATGCAGAGCTTTTTTTTTTTTTTTAATCACAGAACAAAATCCTATAGAAGCAGCATTTTCCCCTCGCAATAGGAAAGAAGTTCAACATGTTCCATTTTTAATTTTGCACTAGAATGTAATTCAGGTGTTGCTCCAGGGTTTCATATAGTTTCAGGGGCATAGAAACACATGATTCATGGCATAATTCCAGTTAGGCAGTGGAGTTTCTCACATTTGGAGGTACTGTGAAAGTGAAGAGATATCGGAGGTACACTTGGACAGAATAATTTGGTTGACCAAGTTACAGAACCCCTTCCATTTCCTCCTCACCATGAATCCAAGGAAATCCAGTGAGCTTTGTTCTGAATAATCATTTAACCTTGAAATTCTCATTCCATTTCATTCAGACAGAATCATACCAAATAAGTCAGTTTTCTTCAGAATTCTGCCTTATCAGGGAACATATAGCATGCTCACATGCATGGCTCATACATGTAGAGAGCTTTGCCCATGGCTTATTTACCATGTGGTCTGAACCAAGGACTTGACTCCTCTTAGCCAGGATATCACTATGTTACCACTTTAGTAATGGAACTACAATTGTCTGTACAGTAGTCCTGTTCATCACCTGTATCTTTCACCTTCTGTACGGCCCACTCCTTCGGTCCCTGATTTATTAGGTGGTCTGAAAATTGTATGCAAAGAGTACACAATTTAACAGTTTGTTGTTAAATTGGAGGAAGGTTATTGGAGGGGGCAGATGCCCCAGTTATGTCCTGGGGTAAGAACTTTTCAGTTTTTTGCTAATGATCTGGATGAAGTGGTGGAGGGAATGCTTATCAAATTTGTAGATGACACAAAAATAGGTGGGATAGCTAGACAACAGAAACAAAATTGAAAATGATCTTAATAAGTTAGAAGAAATCAACTGAAAATAACAGAATGAAATATAATAGAAACACCTGAGAAAAAGGAACAAATTCACAGTCATAGATGGGGAATACTTGGCTTGATAACCGTACCTATGCAATTTTGCTATTCAAATTGATCACAAGCTAAATATGAGTCAGCAATATGATATGGCTACCAAAAAAAGGCACAAGCAATTTTAGGCTGCATCAACAGAAATACAGTTTCCAAATCACCAGAAGGAATAGTTTTGTTCCAGTCTGAATTGTTTAGAACCTACCTTGAGTTCTGTGTCCACTGCTGAGCACTGTATTTTACGAAATATCCAAAGAAACTGGAAAAAGTGCAGAGAAAGGCAGTTGCAATGATCAAAAGACTAAAACCTGTTGTGAGAAAAGATGGGGAAAATGAGCAGTCTGAGCTTCTGGCACAAGGAGAGGGGGTGGGTAGGATAGCACTTTTCAAGTACCTGAAGAAGTGTCAATGAAGACATGTTTTCTATCATCTCAGAATATAAAACATAGAATAATGGTTTTAAGTTGCAAGAAAGCAGAGTCAACTTGAATATTAGGATGTGCTTCTTAATGGTAAGTGCTGATCAACAATGGAACCATTACTAAGACAGATAATTGGTCCCCCATCAGTTGATATGTCCAAGAGGGAGTTGGGCAGCCTTCTGTCAAGGATACTTTAAATTGGATTTCTGAGCTGAGCAGGTTGGCTTCAGTATCCTAACTGCGTCCAATTCTTTGAGTTTATTATGTGCATTGAGACAAAACAGAATCTCCAATCTCACAGAAAATATGTTTTCATATGAGTTGAATCCTTTTCCACCCAATAAAGCAAGAATGAGTATGGCCTCACAAATGTTTGCATATCCTTTTTAGGTGTAATGAACAAAACTTCAGTCCGGCTGACCAAAGCACCTTAAAAGTCACACTTAATCCATGGTTCAATTCTAATTTCTCTTTTAAATACATCTTGAAGTCCCAGTTCTTCTGCAATGCTGTTTTTGGATCTTATGAAACCTTCTCTAAGCCATCTGGAGTACTAGGAGTATGTGAAATCAGCCAAGATTTGATTTGAAATCAATATTTGAGCTTTAAAGGCAGAAAGATTCCATATGAACATGCAAGATGAGATTCAAAGACAACAACATTCCACTCATAATTCAATCTGATAAAAGATTTGACTGTCGCTATAATAGAGAAGCAGCTGC